GGCCTGCTGTGTTCATCCAGCCCTGCACCTTGTTGTCTCTAACATGATTATGGTGTTGACAAGCCAGTTTCCATCGTCTTCTACATCCCATTATAATCACAAGTAAAACGCACTCAGCTTCTCAACACGTTTAAAAAATAGATACAATCATTGAAGAAGGCAATACAAACAACTGCAAAGAATTGTCCTGTTACACGTTGTCCCTTTCATTTTCCTAAGGGATTTCCACTGCATTAACTTCACCTTTACCACAAATAATCCTCTCGAAAGTGTGATGAAGGTTGAACGTTTAATATTATTTGTGTTCTAAAGTCAAGCCAGATAGATAATTGACTTTCACTTCTGTGAAGATAACTTGCACTTTTGAGGTGAGATATTACTTCTTTGTAGCAGTGGGTCAAAGCAGCACTTCCAAGAATCATTTGACTTGAGCTAAATGACTAGATAAGCTATTTAAAATATTTAGAAGCATAGAAAATAGAAGCAGGAGTAGGCTATTTGTTCCTTTGAGCCTGCCCTGTCACTCAATGTGATCATGGATGATCATCCAACCCCATACCCTATTCCCGCTTTATCCCTGTACCCTTTGATCCTTTTAGCCCTAAGAACTATATCCAATTCCTTCTTGAAAACTTTCATTTTTATTAGCCTCAACTGCTTTCTATAGCAGAGAATTCCACATGTTTTGCATTCTTTGGGTGATGAAATTTCTCCTCATCTCAGTCCTAATATATCCTTATATACATATATCCATTGGTTGTGATCCCTGGTACTCAATTTCCCAGTTATTGGGGACATCCTTCCTGCATTTACCCTGTCCAGTCCTATTAGAATTTTATAGATTTCTAAGAGATACTCCTCCATTCTGAAATAAGAATTTCTTTCTCTGAAATAAGAATTTCTTCCTCCGTTCTGAGAAAGGGTCACCAGACCTGAAACATTAACTCTGTTTTCTCCTTCACAGATGCTGCCAGACCTGCTGAGCTTTTCCAGCAACTTTGTTTTTGTTCTTTATCTGAGAGTTGTACAACTATGGAAACATCTGCCTCAGAAGGGAGGGTACATTGAATATTTTTTAAGGCAGGCATGGATGGGTTCTTATAGCTGAAGAAGGATCACTGGACTCGAAAAGTTAACTCTGCTTTCTCTCCATAGATGCTGCCAGACCTGCTAAGTTTCTCCAGTAATTTCTGTCTTTGTTTCAGATTTTCAGCATTCACAGTTCTGTTTTACACTACGGATAGATTCTTGTGAGCCATAGGGATCAAAGATTTTCTGGGATAGATGGGAATGTATAATTCGGAATGCAAACAGATCAACTATGTCCTTGCTGAATAACGATAGTTGGCTTGAGAACCTGAATGACCTGCTTCTGCTGCTATTTCCTATGTTCGGGGGCATAGTGTAAGGGCCAGGGGCTGACCATTGAAGAGTAAGATGGGAAGAAATTTCTTCATTCATAAAGTTGTAAATCTTTGGATTTGTGGATCTGTCCTGTGAATAAAGTTGTTGGATATATTCAAGATAGGGTTCTATATATGGGGCACTGAAGAAATTGAGAGATATGAGGATAGGGCAGGAAAATAGAATTGAAGGAGGTCAACCATGAGAAGGTTTAGTAGCAGAATTGACTTGAGATGTTGCTGCTGTTCTGTTTTTATGCTGTGTTTATTTATGTTGAGACATTAAGTGGAAATTCCTGCACATGCTCAGTGTCCAGGTCAATGTCACTTGGCAGCATGAAAAGCTCACAAGGTGATTTGATGAACAATAATGTTCAAGCTCCCCATTTTAAGTCTGTACAGTCCTTAAATGTTCTTGTATTTAGCCAATGAGGTGTGCAGTCATTTTGTGACGATGAGGAGAATCATCAATGACCACGGTCATGCACATTTCAGAATCAGTTCCATAAAAAGCCACAAAAGATGAAAGGTATCAAACAAGGGCAATGGGAAAGGGAGGTTTCTTTTAAGGGCATGTCATATTGTTGGATATGCAACACTGGCATCATAGTAATGCAGAGTTTTATTAACAGCTTCTGGTTCGGCTCGTGTCATGGATGTTTCCCGAATTCAGCTTTGCATGGCTGGTTGATGAAGCAAAGAAAAACATGCCGCTTGAACTGGACTTCTTGAAAGAGGGCCAAAATACAGAGAAAGTGGCCGACATGCTCAAGCACTTTCAGTTTCTTAAGGTACTCATCTTAAAACTTTGTTGACCAACCTAAATGTAGGTGGCATAAGACCATGAGAAATAGGAACAGGAGAGGGCTGTTCAGCCGCTCGACTCTGCTCCGCCATTTGCTGGGATCATGGCCGATCCGATATTCCGCACGTCCATTTTCCCTGTAGCTCTTGATTTTCCTGCAAAAATCTATCAATCTCACCCTTAAGTATACACAAGAACTCTGTCTCCATAGCTGTCTGTGGCAAGGAGTTCCAAAGACATTCTATCCTCTGAGAGAAGAAATTCCTTCTCATTTCAGTCTTAAATTGGCACCCCTTTATTCTGAGACCATGGCGTCTGGGCCTAGACTCTCCCATGACAAGAAACGTCCTTTCACCATTTACCCTGTTGTTGCAAAGTTGGGTGGAGTATTTGTGGATCGGAAGGCAGGATGTTAGAATTTGTTTGTAAATTGATAGGGAGAAAGATTGTGAGTTCCCATTAACAGATGATGTGCATTTACTAGGCTTAGAAATTTAAAAAAATGTCTGTGGGCACAGAGAGTTCCTGAAATTGAAACATTTGTATCAAAAGGCTGTATAGTTAGCAACCTAGGCAGCGGTCTTGTTTTGTTATTAAGGTGACAAGTTTGAATATCAGCCAATTAATTTAAACCAGGCACTTAGAGACTAAAAAAACAATTAAATTTAAATCTGATGGCTTTGACAACCTGGGACCATTCCGATTGGAAGTAATGGATAGCTCATCAAGGGTATAAAAGAAAAACGTATTTGAAAATTGGTTTGAGAGCAACTGCCATCTGTTAGAGTTAACAACCAGCAGGCCTAAAGAAAATAATCACTGGCTCTCACAGAAATCTCTAAGCTCTCTGAAAACCGTCATCTGACTAAAGGTACAGCAGCACTCTTAGCTAATATTCCTGACACAAGAATTTGATGGAGAAAGGCGTTCCTGACTGAAGAACAACAGAGAAGGCACCGAACATTCCAGAAGACATATCCTGGCTGTAATTTCGAGAACCTAAGTTTAAAGCTTTTGAAATTAATTTGGTTCATATAAGTGGAGTTTGTATCCATTGGAACAGCATACCATGAAAATTTTGTTTTATTTGGGAATAGTTAGTAGTTGAGGGGAATTGTTCAGTTTGTTAGTAGTCCTGTTAATTTGTTCACTGTTAGAGTTAGATAAATAAATTGTTACTTGTTGATTATAGAGTGACTGTCAGGACATCATTTCATTTAACCTCTCCTTTATAACAGAGTTGGGAGTGAGAGGCAGGTTACACCACTTTTCATACTTCCTTTAACAGATTATGAGGTAAGGTGACCTTCTCCAGATGTTTTGGTTTTAGTTATTCAGAGAGGGGTCGACCTCTGCTTCATAACAGATTTGGGGCTTGAGTCCAGGATCTGGCCAGTTCGTGTACGAGATCTGAATGGTTCTAAATGGATTTGGACAGATTTGAACAGATTTGGGATACGAAAGTTCCCAGCAGATTTAAACAGACCTGGGAATTAGTGTCCTAAATCTTTAAATAAAACGTAGGTGAGAAGTGGAATATCTGCTTAATTTTGGTTACTTGTCATTGGTTTTAGAGTTGGATAATAGATCGGCACAACATCGAGGGCTGAAGGGCCTGTACTGTGCTGTACTGTTCTATGTTCATCATTATAGAATCATAGAATCCTTACAGTGTGGAAACAGATCCTTTGGCCCAACAAGCCCACACCGACCCTTGGAGTATCCCACCCAGACCCATCCCGCTATAGCCCACCTAAGCTACGCATCCCTGAACACTAAGGGCAATTTAGCATGGCCAATCCACCTAACCTGCACATCTTTGGACTGTGAGAGGAAACTGGAGTACCCGGAGGAAACCCACGCAGACACGGGGAGAATGTGCAAACTCCACACAGTTCTTAAATCACAAGTGGGGGAAATGGCTCTTAACATTGCTAAAGAGGTTCTGGGGTTTGAGACTGCTTCCTAAATTTTGCCAAGAAAGTTTAGAAAGACAAAAGAAGGAAGCACTTTAGAATTAGCAAACAGGCTAGAAATGGGTTTAACTAAGGATAAAGGAAAGCTGAAATTGTAAAGGAATTAGTCAAGCATTTAGGTGTACCAGAGAAACAGGAAAGTGCAGTGGAGTTTGAAAAAGTTAAATTGCAAAGAAGATAACTGGATTTCGAGAGTGAAAGGGAATTGAAACAGTTTGAATTACAGTTACAAGCGGAGGAATGACAAAAAGAAAAAGAGAGTTTGAACTTTGAAAGTTGCAAATTAAACAGGTTGGTGACTTAAAATGATGAGAAGGAGAGTGATGATGAGCAGACCCATCGTAGCCAAAGACCTGATAGGGATATATACAAATATATCAAAACATTAGCAAAATTTGATGAAAAAGATGTACAAGCCTTTTTCATTGCCTTTGAGAAATTGGCTACCTGGATGAGCTGACCAGCGACCGTGTGAGTAATGTTAATTCAGACCAAGTTGGTAGGAAGGGCTAGTGGGGTGTTTGCAGTGCTGTCAGAGGAGGTGTCAAGAGAATATGAAGTAAAACAGGTTATGTTGAGTGTCTATGAATTGATACCAGAAGTATACAGGTAACGGCTCAGGAATATACGAAATGAACCAGGTCAGACTTATGATGAGTTTGAAAGAATTCAACGTAGCAACTTCAATAGATGGATGAGAGCATTAAAGATAGAAAGGCTATGTGAGGGTCTTAGTGAGATTATTCAAAACTTCACTTCCAGAAATGATAAGAACTCATGTTGAGGAACAGAAAGTTAAAACAGTGGGAAGAGGTGCAGAGATGGCAGATGAATGTGCATTAGTGCATAAATCGAAATCTAGCTTCCAACAGCGATTTCATTCCATGAGGGATAGAAATTAGGAAAAAGGGAGATCCTTGAATGGAAATGAACAGGTGAAAAAAGGAACCCCAGAGGGTGAAGAAGAGGTGAAAGCCTTCAGGTGTTTCCACTGTAATAGAGGGGTCACACAAAGTCACAGTGCTGGTGGATTAAGAGAGGCACTGGGAAAAAGGATGTGGTAAAAGAGGCCAAGGCAGTATGATTAGTTGACATAATGAAGGAAATCTCAGGAGAAGTCGAGGGGCTGCGGGTGAGTGCACACCCTTGTGATGGGCTGGATAGTACAATAGTGCCTGATCTCTTCAAAGACTTCACCTCTGTGGGTAAGGTTTACTCAGGTAGAACAAGGGGAGAGCGTAAAGAAGTTACAATATTGAGAGATGAAGACGATGTGAAGACGAAGGCCACCGAGGATTTTCCAAGACCATTCTCGAAGAAGGAGGTGCTATGATTTTTGGGACTGAGCGAATTCTACAGGCAGTTTGTACAAACCTTTAGTAATGTGGTGGCACCGCTGACAGATTTTTAAAGGAAGAACATGAAATGCCAGTGGATAGACCAGTGTCAAATTTAACTACCAAATTTAGCCACACCAAATTTCTTGAAACCCTTTAAAAGTCACCATTGACACAAGCGATGTAGGTATTGGAGCTTCGATGTTACAGGAGGATGATTGTGGAATTGAAAGGCTCATCCGTTATTTTTCAAAGAAACTCAGTATCTACCAGAAAAAAATATTCAACCATTGAAAAAGAGTTATTGAGTTTGGTACTGGCCATAAAACATTTTAATATTTATGTTGCAAACAATGTATCAGAGATGGTTATGTACACTGATCACAATCCTTTGACAGTTTTGGAAAGATTTAAAGATAAGAACACCGGACTATTTCGTTGGAGTCTTATGTACAAGCATTTAATTTCCAGATTGCACATCTTGCGGGTTGTGAAAATGTTATTGTGGATGCGTTATTGCAGTTTTAAAGGAAAATATGTGTATAAGGTAGAAATGGTAGTGTTCAATGTTATATGTATGTATATAGAATTAGTATGAAATGTGAAACTGTAGATTAATGACCAATGGATCTAGTAATAATGGTGTTAAGATTTAGAAAAAAAAAAGAAGCCATCTTTACATCATGATGGTGGGAGATGTTACGAAGTTGGGTACAGTACTTGTGGATTGGAAGGCTGGAGATTAGAATTTGTTTGTAAAATGATAGGGCAAAGAGTGTGTGGTCCCTTTAAAAGATGATGTGCTTTTTCTAGGCTGGAGATTAAAACAATGCTTGCAAACAACAGCAGGCACAGAGAATTCCTGAAATTGAAACATTTGTATCAAAGGCTGTATGGTTAACAACCCAGGCAACCAATTTGAGTATCAGCCAATTAATTTAAACCAGGTACTTAGAGACTAAAATAACAATTACATTTAAAATATGATGGTTTCGACAACCTAGGACTAATCCTATTATAAGAAATGGATAGGTCATCAAAGGTATAAAAGAAGTGGGTATTTGAAAATTGGTGAGAGATCAATTGCCACCTGTTAGAGTTAACAACCAGCAGCCTGAAAGAGAACATCACTGGCTCTCACAGAATTCTCTGAGCTCTCAGAAAACCATCATCTGACTAAAGGTACAGCGGCACTCTTAGCTAATATTCCTGACACAAGAATTTGATGGAGAAAGGCATTCCTGACTGAAGAACAGTGGAGAAGGCACCGAACATTCCAGAAGATGTATTCTGGCAGTAATTTCAAGAGTTTAAAGTTTTTTAAAATTAATTTGGTTTATATAAGTGGAATTTTGTATCTATTGGAACAAAATACTGTTAGAATTTTGTTTTATTTGGGAATAGTTAGTAGTTAAGGGGGAATTGTTTGGTTTGTTAGTCGTTCTGTTAATTTGCCAACTGTTAGTGTTAGATAAATAAATTGTTACTTGTTGATTATAGAGTGACTGTCAGGACTTCATTTCATTTAACCTCCCCTTTACAACAGAGTTGGGAGTGAGAGGCAGGTTACACCACTTTTCACACTTGTTTTAACAGATTATGAGGCGAGGCAAGCTTCTCAAGGTCTTCGTTATTTAGAGAGGGGAGTTCGATCTCTGCTTCATAGCACTGTTGAACCCCTTAACAATCCGAGATGTTTCAGTGAGGTCTTCTCTCACTGTTCTCTACTGCAGAAAGTAGAGTCCCAACCTGTTTAGCCTTTGTTCATTAGGCAGTCCCTTCATTATCAGGATCGTCCTAGTGAACCTTCTCTGAACTGCTTCTAATGAAATGACAGCTTTCCTCAAATAAGGGGACCAGAAATGATCATAGTACTCCAAGTGTGGTCTCGCCAGTGTCTTGTAGAGTTGTGTAAGATTTCCCTACTTTTACACTCCACCCCCTTGAAATAAGCACCAACATTCTATCATCCTTCCTGATTACCTGCTGCACCTGTGTGCTAGCAATCTGTGTTTCATGCAGAAGTCCCTTCCAAGTGCATTTGTGTTGCAGCTTTCTGAATTTCTCCATTTTTCTGAGATTTTCTCCATTTAAATAATACACTGTTCATGAATTGGGAAATGTTCTGTCATCCACAAAGGCTTTTTAAAATTTATATAAAATACTACTTAACTGGATTGCCATGTTCGTGTCCTAACTGTGAAACTAAGCCATTTGTTGTTCGAGTCTCTGAAGTTAAAACAGCAACTGATTAGTGGTGAAGTTGTGCTGTGCAGGACAGGCTTTTTGTTTTGTGTGTTCATTGGGCGTGAGCATTACTGGGTATGCCAGCATTTATTGCCCCTCTCAAATTACCCAGAGGGTAGTTAAGAATCGACGAAATTACGATGGGTCTGGAATCACATATAGGCCACAGCGGGAAAGGATGGCAGATTTCCTTCCTGTAAGGACATTAGCAAACCAGATGGATTTTATGAAAATTGGAAGTGGATACATGGTCACCATGAGGCCTTGTGGGATTCAGAGTCCCTGGAACTTTATCTTGGGGTTCTGGATTGCTTATGCAGATTGTGTTTTGTTACATGTTCATGCATATAGAAATCAGAAGGGTGAGGAAATGAATGCAGTTGCTGGAGAGCTGATGTGATCTCATTGGGAGCAGTTCTGATGGAAGTGGGACTGGTGCTGGGCCAAATGGATTGCATCTGAAGTAACTTGTCAGAGTGGTTTACTCGTGCTGTTGACAAGGGTTTAAACTAACTTGACAGGGGGATGGGAATCAGAAAGTACTATTAAAAGGGAGTAACACGGTCCACACTTAATTAGAAAAGACTGATAGCACGACAGTCAAAAATAGTAAAGCCAGAGTAAGAGGGAGAGCTGTAAGGTCTTAATTAGGCCTGTAGACCATGTATGTAAATGCATCACGTGTGGTAAATCAGACTGATTACCTGCAGGCACAAATAACAACTTGTGGTCTGATATCAAGGCTAGAAACCTGGCTACAAAATGGACTTCACTAGGAACTGTATAATCCTGTTCTAGACGGATCAGGAATAAAGGAGCTGGGGCTCCTTGGGGCTTCTGGGTCTGCGGAGACTGTTACTGTGTGGGAGAGAGAGAAAATATATACACTGCCCAGAGGAGGGGGGTTGGCTGGAGGTGAGGCAAATGGTCTCCTATGCAATAACAGTTCTTAAAGTAGGCAAATTGGTTCTGTTCAGCCTCCAAGGGCTATTGTATCACCCGTAGACTATTGAATGAACCTGAATTTCATCTTTTTATTCAAAGTGACTCTGTTTGATAATTATTTCAAATTTTAGAATTGAGATTTAGTAACGTAGTTTTTAGCACAATCTCTCTATTCCCAGCAGTTTTCCCACATCTTTCCCATTATATCTTTTGATTGTCATTCCTGAACTTCAGTTGATCTCAAAGCCTCTTACCTTATGTGAGGTCCTGTTGGCCACTTGGTTTGGAGCCATTTTATGAATGTGGATAACTCTTTACAATCACTTTTTGTCTTATTGTCTGTCGGTATGAAGCTGGGAATGGGTTTTTCTGATGACTTCCTTTTTAAACTTTTTACTTCCTTTTTGTATGGCTTTTCTGGATACACCTAATTCCCGAGTTTTTGGTTTCACTAACTTCAGTTTCGGGCTCTATATGGTCTTTGCTTCCACGCCACATTGCCCCGGCCATTGAGCCATAGAAAGTTTACAGCACAGAAAAGGACTATTCAAATTATTGTGTCTGTAAAAGCCATAAAGGTTTGCCACCCATTCAAATCCCACCACCCATCACCCCCAGCCTTGCAGGCTGCAGCACTTCAAGTGCAGATCCAAGCACCTTATGAACGATTTGAGGATTTGTGGTTCTATCATCAAACTGCATAATGAGTTCCAAACACTCACCACCCTCTGGGTGAAAAAAATTTTCCTCATGTCCCCTTTAAACTGCCTTATATCTGTGCCCTCTGGTATGTAACCTCTCCATAAGGATAAACAGGTCTTTCTTGTCTATTCTATTCTAGCCTCCCATAATTTTACACACCGAATTTAAGTCACCCTGAGCCTTGTCTTTTCTGAGGAAAACAACGCTAACTTATCCATTCTTTCGTGATAGCTGTAGTTTTCAAGCCCTGGCAACATTGCCACAAAGATATGGACTCTCTCCAACTATATCCACAATTCCAGGTGTGTCTTAACCGACATGTTGTACAGTTCCAGAATCAAATCCCTGTTTGGGTATTCTATAGCTCATCCAATAAGGGAAAGCATTCCATTGTACATTCCTTGCCACCTCATTCACCTGCCCTGCCATCTTCAAGTACCTGTGGACATGCACTCCAAGATTTCTCACATCCTCTACCCTTCTCAATATCCACTCATTTATTATGTATTTTCTTGCTTTATTTTCTCTTCCCTGGATGTAAATTCACTTGCATTTCTCCAAACTGAATTCCATTTGCCACTTGTCTGCCCGCTCAACCAAACCCATTGATATAGTTCTGGAGTCAACAGCCATTTTCTTCATTATAAGGCATATGACCTATTGTAATCTGCATATTTCCCAGTCATGACACTCACATTTAATTCCAGATCAATAATAATTAATAAACTGTGAGGGACCCAACACTGAACTCTATGGGACAATATTAGAAATTGCTTTGTATTTCCAAAAATGCCCATCAACCACGATCTTCTGTTTTCTGTCAATGTGCCAATTTTGGAACCAACTTACTGCATTTTCCAGTATCCCAGAGGCTTATCCTTTTCTGACCAGTGCCAGTGAGGCACATCCCACTTGCACCCAGCTCTCATTCTGTATAAACAAGACTTGCAGATAACCACTTTCTACACATTAATATAAAGACATTTGATAGCATTGAATTATGCTGCTTCTGTGACAACTTGCATTAATAAAGTCAAATGCCAATATTTCAGGAGCTATACTAATCTCTTGTTTGTCATCTGAATTCCAAGAGAGATGCTTTAATGTTAATCTGTCTTGTGCTTCACTCCCAAAGGTCCCTAAAATTCATTGGGAACTGTCAACCAGTCGTGTTCTGACCATGGAGTTTATGGAAGGTGGTCAGGTAAATGACAGAGAATACATGAAGAAAAATGACATTGACGTCAATAAGGTAAGGACTGGTTGGCTCACATAGTTTGAAGGGAGGAGATTTGATCTGGTTAGTCTTGTTTTCTAGAATTAATCATGGAGATTATTAGCTTATATTTGCTCTATACTGTCCCAGATGATTGTGGAGCTTAATGTGTATTTAACAGTAGGCGTTCTGCATTATTCTTTCTGCTCTTCTTCCTGTTGTGGGTGAACAGAAATGATCCCCTATTCATCTTTCAAACATTGAATGGAGAGGATCAGAAATTTATTTATGTTGTTTTTTTTTTCAAAATATTCTTCCCTCCTTCTGAATCTGTTTAATGCAAAGAGAAACACATTTTTATAGGGAGCTCAGAGCCACATTTAAGTGTACGGGTGACCATTGAGACCCATAGACATTTTCACCAGACATTCTCCAATGTGCTTGTGTTATATGTGTAGTTCTGCACAGGAACAAGTAATTCGTAAGATCTATCCCAGAGCATGTTTGTGCAACAATTAGGCATACTGATCTTTTTGCATTGACGTAGCACCTTGCATGCAGTAAAATATACTGAGGCACTTCACCAGAACATGATTGGGCATAATTCAAAACCAAGCCATGGAAAGATTAAGTGGCTAAAAGCAAGGCCAAATGGTATTAAGGAGCATTTAAAGGAGCAGAGAGAAGGAGTGAGCCGAGAGGTATCGATGGCCAAAAGCCATTTTGTTCTTTATCGACACTTGCTACATCTGAATGTAGCCCATGCTTCAAACATGAAGCGTCTTGGAATTGTTTTTGGTGTGTAAAATAAATTTATTGTTTGGTTCCATTTGCATCACCATATTTAGTGTTTAGCACAAAGAACAAACCACTTGAAGGACTTGTTCCACCACCTGCACTAGGCTGGAAATCCTGGCAGGAGTTCCAGGAATGGAGATAAGTTCCCTGCCATCTTAAGAAAAGGTTAACCTTCAATGGGCAGGTATAAAGATTCCTATCCCTGGTTGAGTGTATTACTGTGGTTTTCATCACATGACCTCCTGTCTCCAACTGCATTGTGAGTGGATAAATGTGGAGCTGGAAAAGCACAGCATTCAGACAGCATCCGAGGAGCAGGGAAGTCAATGTTCCGGCTGTTTAACCTGCTGTGCTTTTCCAGTTCCACGTTTATTGACTTTAGCTTCCAGCATCTGCAGTCCTCACTGTCTGCCTTATGAGTGGCATGTTAATTATATTGTTCAGATACAGAAGTGATTTTAATTTTACTTTTAATTAATTGCATTTTAATTAAGTATCTGGACCCCTTTAAGAGAGTCTGTTGGAATATGGATATAGCATGTAGGGAGCAGCAATTTTTAATGCTGCATTTGGCAGGAAATGTTTTAGTGTCTGGTCTTGTGATTCAATTGGCTTGGGAATGAATTAACATGCCTTCCCACAATTGATCACCAAACATGGGCATTTTTGCATTATCTCCTGCCTGTTTTGTCTCACTGGAAAGCAGAAATGGATCTTCATGGGATGAATTTTGACTGACAGTCAAATTGCCTTTTTAACTCTTTGCAATTTTTTTGTAATTGATATACGGAAACCTTTGCTCACTGTCCCAGTGAATTTTCTCATGAAGTATCTTACAACAGAGCCCTGAAGGTTGATTTCTGGGGACTTCTGGAGACTTCAGACCAATTCTGGAGGGTTGACAACTTTAAGCAGAACTTTGTTTGATGAGGGAATGAGGTTGCTTCAGCGTTAGAATTCACATTTACTTTGCACCCATAATAGGGTAAGAAAGTTATATCGTGAAAATGACTTAGACCCTTCTTCTGTTAAAGACCCCCCAGATACATATTTAAAGTTCATGATTCAAAATTTATTTGTCTGCTTCTGAGGTTCACGTGTGAATTTTTGTGATGTTCTCCAAAATCCTCAATTAGGTCACAAACTACCAACCAATGCCTCACATCCAACATTGAATTTATAATATCCTACAGGTCCGAATAAGTCAGGGGGTTAGTTCTTAGTTCTTATGCTACTGGGTTAGTAATGCACAGGTCTAGATTAGTGATCCAGGCAATGTTGGCTCAAATCCCACCGTGGCAAATTAAAGATTTGAAGTAAAAGTAGAAAATGTTGGAAATACTAAGCAGGACAGGCTGCATCTCTGGAGAGAATCAGAGATAATATTTCAGGTTAATCAACATTTATCACGACATGAAACTTTGAATTTAGTTTAAAAGTGGGAATTAAATAATAATTAGTGTCAGTAAAATTGACCATTTTGCCCCTCTCCCCAAACGTTGCCATCTTCCTATATTGCACCATCAACATCCTGGTGATCACCATAGACCAGAAAGTTAACTCGACCAGTCATAATGTAATATGTTCGAAGTGCCCAGAGGTTGGATATCCTGTAGCATGCTCTAAAGCCATTCCAACGTTAATGAGGCACAAGTCAGGAGTGTGTTAGAATATTTCCTTCGGTTTAGAGGAGTACAGCTCCACCAACTTTTGAGAAACTCAGTACAAACTAGTACAAAACAGTCCTCTTGTTTGCTGAACCTTTCACCAATTTAAATGTACACACCCTGCACCACAAGCTCAATGTGGCTTCAATGTGTATTTTGCACAAGATCTTCTCCAACAAAATAAAAACTGAAAGAACTGTGGATACTGTAAATTAGGAGCAAAAACAGAAGTTAGTGGAAAAGTTCAGCAGGTCTGGCAGCATCTGTGAAGATAAAATCAGAGTTAACGTTTTGAGTCCAATGACGTTTCCTCAGAACATTGCTCCCCTACAACTCTCCTGACAGCAACTTCCAAATCTGCCACCTCTACCACCGAGAAGGACAAAGGCACAGGTCTTTGGAATTTGGTATTTCCTTCAAGTTCTTTTCCAAATTACGCTCATCCCAGCTTCGAATTATATTGCCCATCCTTTATTTTTGCTGGGTTAAGAACACAGAAATTGAGTATTGTTGAAAAACTACACATTCTGTCAAAGCTTTTCCTGTTGCACTCAACAATACAATTCACTGGAATTATCATTTAGACTGTATGATTAGCTGATGTTTAATTGGTAGCGGTTTAGCCATGGTGAATGTGCCAATTACATGGTGACTGACAGTGAACGTCCTCGTTATGTTTAAATTTTAAACCAGGCAAATAGACTCTGATTGGTCAAGACATCGCCATGAGAAATGATCTAAAGGATGCTTATCATTTTTTTGTTCTGTCAAGAACGTTGCCCTGTGTATTAATATATGTGCTTTCCAGCACATGCAAGTGTTCCACGATGTGAGCCTGCCTGACATTCCGATATTGTTTGTCAGCCAGGGATGATTGTAGCCTCGCTGATATTCGAGAAACACAGCCTAGCACCAAGCAATCTTGGTTGCTACTCCATTCACCATTCAAACACGCACTGCCTACACCACCACTCAATAAGGCTTCAGTATGTACCATGTACAAAATGCTCTCCAGTAACTGTGTTGACAGCACCTTCCAAATCTACAACCTCTACCAATTAGAAGGACATAGAAATCCTTATCTAATAGTATGGTGGGTACACCTGCTTCAGATGGACTGCAGTGGTTCAGAAGGCAGCTTGCACCTCACCAAGGACAAGTAGGAGTCAGTGATAAGTGTTGGCCTCTCCAGTGTGCCCATATCCTGTGGACGAATGAATTTTTAATAAAAAGTTATCAAGTTGATGTAGCTGTAAAAATCCAACTAGTTGACTAATGTCCCTTTTAGGAAGGAAGCCTGCTATCTTTGCCCAGCCTGAATTGTATCTGACTCATAAAGCATCTCATTTGACACTTAAATGCTCAGTGAAATGACCCAGCAAGTTGCTCAACGATATTGAATCACTGAAGACAAGGGAAACTATTGGAGAAAATGGTGAAGAAGAAAGTTAATCTCCATTTAGAGAGGCGCAGATAGATCAGAGCACGTTAACATGGCTTTGTCAGGGGGAGGTCATGCTTAATAAGTCTGGTGGAATTTTTGAGGAGATGACCAAGTGTTTGGATGAGGGTAGGGCTGTTGATGTAATTTATATGGATTTCAGCAAGGCCTTTGACAAGATCCTACATGGAAACTAATAACAAAGGTAAAGTCTGATGGGATCCAGGATAACTTGGCAAGTTGGATCCAAATTTGGCTTAGTGACAGGAGACAGAGGGTGATGGTGGAAGGTCGTTTGTGTGACTGGAGCCTGGTGTGCAGTGGTGTACCCAGGAATCAGTTTTGGGTCCCTTATTGTTTGAGATTCAGAAAAGATATAGATGAATATGGAGTGGAGGAGACTGATGATAAATAAGTTTGCAGATGACAGTGAGGAGGAAGGTGTTAGGTCACAGGAGGAATTAATGGATTGCCAGATTGCTAGATCAGTGACAAATGGAATTCAACCCTGATAAATGTGAGGTGATGCACTTTGGAAGAAGGAACAAGTCAAGGGAGTACTCAATGAATGACAAAGCACAAGGAAGCTCTGAGGAACTTGTCCACATATCCCGAAGGAGAAAGGATAGGTTTCTAGGGTTTTTAAGAAGACAAATGGGACATTTGCCATTATCCATCATGGCATAGGTTATAAGAGCAGGGAGGTCATGTTGGAGCTGTACAGAACTTCGGTTAGGCCACTGCTGGAGTGCTGTGTGCAATTCTGGTCACTGCCCTAGAGGAATGATGTGATTGCACTGGAGAAGGTGCAAAGGAGATTAACCAGGATGTCGCCAGGATGAAGCAGTTCAGCAACGAAGGGAGACTGGATAAGCTCGGGTTGTTTCCTTTTGAGCAGCGAAGCGAAGATTGAGGAGGACCTGATACAATTGCATAAGATTCTGAGCGACGTGGACAGGTTTAATAGAAATCAGCTGTTCCCTTTAATCAAGGATCAATAACATGGGAGCATAATTTTAAAGTGGGAGGCAGGAGGTTTAGTGGGGATTGAGGAAAATCTTTTTTGACCAGAGGGTGGTGGGGGAGATTGGCATGCACTGCCTGGGAAGGTAGTTGAGGCAGGAAACCTC